CGTGTCCGATCAGCACTTTTTGTTTTGTCAATTTAAATGTCGCAGCGACAGTGGAGTTCTTGATTTTGCGTTAGTAGAGGCTATTTGAAGCCGCCTTTCGACCTCTTTTTCTTGAAATTTGGAGCCTTGATCTTAAAAATCGCAAGCGAGTGGAGCGCCGGACATGGTCCAAATTCGGAACCCCAGCCGATCTCTAGTCTGAATCGTCCCCAAATTCGACCGAAACGCCTTCTAAAAAACCAGAGAGGCATCTGCATAATAACCTGCAAACCAATGCCAAGTTTGGCCCCCAAAATCGCGTCGGGAAACCCGATTTTAGGGAGCTGGAATGGCTTGACACGACAGTGTGGGAATGTGGTGGAGAGCTGTGGAGCATCCGTTAAAATTGTCCGTTCAGAATTTAAAATTTAAAAGTGGCTTCAAATAGCCTCTAGTCAACCGGCGGACGAGAAATCTGGACTTGAGGAACATGGATAGTTAAGGCATATGTATGGCGGGATATCTCCCAACGATGAGCCGCACTTTCAGTATCCAATGGGAAATGCTAACGAGAAAACGAAAGTGTTGGATCTCTTTTGAGACCTTAGAACACAGTTTCCAGGAGCTCAACCCATGCACAATCTCCTCAAATTGGTGGACGACTTCTCCATGGTCGGTCGTTTAAAGGGTCCTCGTTCACCATGTCTGCCACAAGTGGCTTCATAAACTCGAAGCCCAGTTTCCGACTTGCACCCAGCCAACCCTGGAGAGGCCGTCAATATCAACCGCAAAACTGATTTATTGTAAATATGTATTATTTATTCACCCGTATGAAGTCATGTCTGATGAGGTTCTCAAGATAGTACACGTCGGTGGGGAACGGATCGCAATCCGGGGGATCTTCATTATTTTTAATCTGAAATTCTGGTACAGTTTTGTTGCCGCCAATAATCGGGCCCTCTAGGACAGGAAAGTCCTCCGGTTTATACTGACACGAAATTCCAAAGTCAGTGAAATAATATTTGACAGGACGCTCTGTGCGACTTCGATGAGAAATTGGACCACTCCAGTCGCGTTTCATCTTAAGTTTGAGTGGGTGAGGAGTTGTGGAGTATAGCGGTGATGCATCCATCATGATATTAAATTTCATGCAGTCACTTTCTGCGCATGAGTATCCGTAAGTTCAAAAGTGCGAAACACTAACCGGTGTGCGACATGATATCTGTGCATATATCTGAAGCCCTGTGAGAAGCGGCGGTCAGGTCATATCAATCAGTTGTAGGCACAAGCGCACCAGAAAAATTTGCCCGCGCTTCGCCGATCGAATCAAACCGAGGCTTGTCGTATCATTGCAGCAAGGGCATGGCGATGATTTGAATGTCCGAAATGTGGGGGCTCTGGAGCACTTCAAGGATGGGCACACAGTAGTTTTCAGGATCGACCCGTTGGGGCTCGGTGCTGAACCAGGTGCCGATGTCAAACTTCGAAGGGATGAACCCTCTTGCTGATTTTCATAACCACTACTGTCCTCCACACGGGTAGTATCCATTATTACGGGTTGCTATGGGCTTAAATTCAGTAGCATACGGTGAATCCATGAGTTCGCTCACTAGATGCACCATCCCGTCTTCACAGCTTTTCGGATGCTTGTCAGTTCCTTTCCAGGAAGCAGTCCATCCCTTCCTGGTATCTCGGGCGAAGAACATATCCTTTGCTCTTGAGCCATTCACGATAATTTACCAGAAGACCTCCCCGCTGCGCAATTATTCGTCGCTGTAGACCTTATGGGAAGGCTTCTTGGACTGTTTGGACGCAGGGGGAGCAGGCATGTTTTCAGGTAGAGAGTCCAAGACGTGAAATGTTCGTACCATAGGAATCACATTTTAACTGCAAGGTAATTTTGTTATTGTTCTAAGGAATGAATGATAATTTCGCGTTCCGCATATATGATCCATTCGTGGATTTACCTCAAGCCAGGCAACGGCGTTGCGGTGCCGGCGGGAGGAATTCTGAAAGAGTCTTATTAATGCCGCACAGTATTCCTCTAGCATGCAATGTCCAGGTTAGGATGACGACGACCCATCCCTGATCTCTCCCTCCAACCAAATGGACAGAATGAAATAAAATGAAACAACGTTAGTCGTGCACAGCCACTTTTGTCAAACTTGAGAAAATCCAACAAAATACTATGTCAAACTCAAAAAATCTAACAGCGGACAGAATGTCCGTGCAATAATAATACATGTAGCAATAACGATGATACCAACCCGGCTGCCACGCGCTATCTGCAGCTCACACGCACGCAGCAGGAAGAGATATACGCGTCGCCACCGTGACGAAGCTATCGCAGACATAGTCCGGAGTCCAGCTATGTAGCCACGCCCGCCCGTGCGCGCGGGCACGAAAGTGAAAGGAACCAAGCGGGAATACGAGTAAGAAGGACTCGGAGGCAGGTACGATTGCCAACAACCTGGGTCCCGAATCATCAGGGTAGCGCGAAGAAGGAGACGCCGACGAAGAAGGCGTCTGAACTGCGCGGTACCCAATCCACACACCGAACGCGCGTTCGGCTCCCTCCAAAACGAGTGCGATCCGCACGCGCCGTTCCGCTAGCTCCAACCCTCCAGCCCAGTCTCACACGCCTATCGAGTCCCTCGATCTCGCCATTCCCGCCCTGGTCCCACCAGCTTAGAGGGAGGATTGGGGGAGAGCAAATGACTGATACAGGTCGACTCCCCACATCTTTCGCGAGCGCGACAACGGGAGACTCAATAACGCAAGAAGGGCCGGGACGTAGACAGCATACGCGCCAGTCCCGAGCACAAACACACGTGTATCCGCGCTTCCCGTCTCCTCCAGGCATAAGCAGAAAAAGGCGCAAGAAAGGATTGAAAACAGAAGAACGCGGCACACACCTGAATCCCAGAATACCCACCCCCCCCCAAAAAAAAAAAAAAAAAAAGCGGGAGGAACGATCCCGTAGCGTCAGCAGGAGGTAGGAGGCACGAGCCTGCGGCGTGCGAGTGTTGTCTCTACGTCGAAGGGAATGGTAGGAAAGCAAGAATGCACTCGTAAACGGCACGAAAGCGGTGCAGTGAGAACGTTGACGGCGCTGCTGCTGACCATGCAATTGTGCAAGCGGCTCCATAACGCACTAGCGACAAGAGGTGCGCGGCAGGGAGTGCATATAGATGCAGCATGTAGTCGATACCCATTCGGCGGATTCGAAGAGGGCAAGAGGTCGGCGAGGTAGGAGAGCACCTGAGGAAGCGGAGTGAGTAGGAGAGGCCGGAGACAATGAGGGACAGAGGGAGCGGCGGTAGGGCGGCACAGCGCACAGAGGCGGCGCGGACATCCGGCAACGGCGCAGTCAGACACAGTCCCGCCTTCACCGCGATGCGCCTCCGTTCGCTCAACGCGCTGTCGCCGAGTATGATATGAGTATTGCGCGTCGAGACGGAACATCGGAGAGCGAAGCAACGACATGTCGATGGGATTCGCCCAGCAAGCGCGAGGGAGCCAGAAGAGACGGAAGAGAGAGAAAACAAAACAAGGAGGGAGGAAGAAAAAAAAACGCATCGATACCCTTCCACAGCCCACGGATTATTGCGCCACTCTAGAGGTAAATCTTCATACCCAATGAGCTTTCTTCCGAAATCTCCACGCCGGAGCGCGTCGGCGGGGGTTGGGCCTTCCTCTGCCGCCTCTTCCTGCCCGTCGGGCGCGTAGTCGAGGAGGGACACGGCGGAGAGCGAGGCGCACGGCAGGGAGATGGACGCGGGCAGGGACGATAGGGACGGCAGCTTCGCGAGGAAGGCGTCGAGGAGCTCCCTCAGCACGGGCGGGGCGCTAGAGTAAAAGCTCGGGCGGCAGAACTCAAACTCGAACGTAGGCCTAGCGAACTCGAGCACGGGAGTTCAGCGGTGAGGTTAGCGTGTAGAACGCGGAGGCAGGCGGAGAGGGTGGGGATGTAGGAGAGCGGGAGAAGAAGTCGAAGTCGAGGGAGGAGGAGACGAGGCCTTTGACGTCGCTGAGCCGGGACTTTAGCTTCTCTTTGAACTCGTCGAATTCAAAGTAGTCGAAGTCGAGGGAGAGGGCGGGGGAGAGGTCCAGCGAGGGCAGGTCCGGCAGGTGTGAGTGGACGTCGGCGCGGATTGAGCGTAGCATGTCTAGAGCGGTGGATGCCCATTCGGCGGATTCGAAGAGGGAAAGACGGCGCTCGAGGTCTGCGAGGTAGGAGAGTACGAGGAAACGCAGAGAAGCCAGGGCCTAAGCTGGAGAGGCCGGGGACAAGTCCAGTGCTTCGAGGGACAGGGGAGCGGGCGGCACGGCGGGAGGCGGGGCGGGGCAGCACGCAGGGGCAGCGCGGACATCCGGCGACGGCGTAGACGGGGCGGGCGGGCAGTGGGGTCGCTGGCGGGCATGGTGTGGAGGTGGTCATTGTTGGGGAATAGGAGGGATCCACAGCGTCCCACGTGAAATTTTATGGCTCTTTCCTTTTCTGTACGTAACCCGGGCCACAACTCTCTTCCGTCCACGTTCATCCCGGCGTTTGCAACGTTCGATACTTGAGCATATCAAATGCAGAGCATTCTACCAGTCACCCCAAGGGCCAAGACATTCACTGGATCTTACCCGAGACAGGTACACATCACAGCCCGACATCCGACCCGGCCCTGCGGAATCTCCTTCACCCTTCCAGTATCGGGTCTTCTGGATTAGACTGCCAGGTGCCTACACGGTCAGCTTTTAGCTCAGTGCTCGGTCGCTCGACATACGCCGGCTTACTCTTGACGCGCCGGCCGCCACGGATGTCTACCATCGCGCTCGTGCGCAACGGTTACAGTGTGATTCCAACAACGACTGGCTTGCCTCCTGGACTCTTCGGTCGTTTGAATGTCTTCGGGATTTCACTGTCGTTCTGGTCAACTCTCGTCAGACTCTACTATAATCTTTTGTTTTTCGTGGTTTCATTTTAACTTAGATTGGCCCATCTGAAGTGTTCACTTTCTATCCATCATGCCTCCGTGGATGGGCGGTAAATTACCCTGAAATTGTTATCAATGTCATCAGCGTGGATCTTAGCAGGGAGACGTGGGTTCGAATCCTACCGGAGGCATGTATCGTCTGGCGATGTTTTTCTTTCGCGGTCCGATTTTTGTCGTTCAGCCTTAGAATTGACCCATTCACGATGTGTCCATCAAGCCTCCGTAGATGAGCGGTAGATCGCCTCAGCTCAACAGGCCAGTTTATGTGTTCGAATGTATGTCAATTGAGATTTTTCTTTTGTGGTCTCATTTCTTGTCGTTCAACCTTAGAATTGACTGATTCTAGATATCTATCATGCTTCCGTGGATTAGCGGTAAATCACCTCAGCTTCATAAAGAGGGTAGGGATTCATGAGGAGTCGTGGGTTCGAATCCCACTGGAGGCATGGATGGCTGGTATTCAGGTTTTTTCTCTCATGGTTTCATTTTTTATCATTCGTTCCACCTTGGATTAACCCGTTCACAGTGTGCATCATGCCTCCGTGGATGAGCGGTATATCACTTCAACTTTATGGATATTAATAGCCTTCATTTATGAGGAGAGGTAGGCTCGAATCCCACCGGAGACATGGCAGCTACATCAAACTTTTTTCGTTTGTGGTTCGATTTTTTGACATTCGTTCAACCTTAGAATGGCCTGTTCATGGTGTCCATCACGCCTCCGTGGATTAGCGGTAAATCACCTCAGTTTCATATGGTATGTATGGAAGATAGTGAGGAGCCGTGGGTTTGAGTCCCACCGGAGGCATGCATTATACCCGATACACTTTTTCTTTCGTGGTTGATTTTTTGTCGTTCGTTCAACCTTAGATTGACCCGCTCGGAATGCCCATCATGTCTCCGTGCATGAACGGTAAATCACCTCAGTTTCGTAATGAATAGGTGTTGAGCGCTGAACGTTGAGCTTATGAGGAGTTGTGGGTTCGAAACATGTCTCCCGCCGGAGACATGTGTTGTTTGTTGTAAGGTTTTTCTTTCGTGGCTCAATTTTTTGTGGTTCGTTCGACCTGAGATTGACCTGTTTATGATGTCCATCATGCCTCTGTGGGTTGGCAGTAAATCACCCTGTCATTGTAACCTTTGTCATCAATCGTAACAGGGAGCTGTGGGTTCGAGTCCCACTGGAGGCATGTCCGATAACTTATGCCCTTTTTCTTTCGTGGTTTGCTTTTTGTCGTTCAACCTTACATTGACCTGTTCGAGGCATCATCCATGCCTCCGTGGATGAGTGGTAAATCACCTCAGCTCATTGGTGGTGAAGGATATTATTGTGAGGAGACGTGGGTTCGAATCCCACCAGAGGCATTGTCGACTATGAACTGCTTTTGTCCCGTCTTTCTTTCTTTCTTTCAACTTTCAATTTTTGAATTTTTGAATCTCGTGTATTTCATTGAGGTGTCCATCATGCCTCTGTGGATTAGCGGTAGATCGCCTCAGATTTATAGCTGTGTTGGGAACAGTTATGGGGAGCTGTGGGTTCGAATCCCACCAGAGGCATTTGTATTGTTGAAACCAGTTTTTTTTGGTTGCAATCGCGAATCATCTGTTTTTACAGCCGTTGTCAGTACCGAAGGCGCGAATCAAAAAATTGCCGTTTTGGGCATTTTCTGATCCCCGCCACCGAGTTGCCTATATCTCGGTGACTTCTGCACAGATTGACTTGAAATGTAGCTAGATAATTCGGGATAATTCAGTCGCTATTAGTGATAGAGAGATATCTGAAAAAATCTTTTGTTGTTTACCATCTGTCATATCAGGCTTCTCCAGCAATGGATCCTGAATGCAGAGCCCAAATCTGGCCCAAATGAGCTGAATTTTTGGGAGGAGGCATTTATATGTGTACTGAGTGAGATGATAGAGCCAAATTACGAATACATTACATACCTAGAGCCATTCTTTGTTTGCTACCCAAAACACACCCCCGAATGAGCCAGGAAGGGCAGGAAATAAATTCCTCATAATTTTAGCTCTATCACTTCATTTAATACATAGATTAGTACCCCCTTCCAAAAATCTAGGTCATTTGGACAGGATTCCAGCTATGTAGCCAAGGTCTATTGCCCGCAAAACCCAGTGTGACATATAGTGCACGATAAAATATTTTCCTTTATGTCTCTCTATCACTAATAGCGGGTGAATTAGCCCGAATTATCTATCCAAGTTTCAAGTCAATCCGTGCAAAACTCATTGAGATATAGGCAAATCGGTCGCGGACATCAGAAAATGCCCAAAACGGCAATTTTCTGATTCGCGCCTTCGGTACTGACAACGGCTGTAAAATTGTTTTCCTCTTTATCTTCCCTCCCTTTAAATTCGTTTTGATTATGCATCAACCCCAACCAGTCGGAGCTCAGAGTTGGAATCAACTGAAAAACTACCCATCACACAACTGAACATCGAATACTGTCACGCCTCCGTGGATCAGCGGTAGATCACCCTCACATTGTACGTTGTCGATATTTCTCTGCATAGGGAACCGTGGGTTCGACTCCCACCAGAGGCATACAGGAGCTTTAAATAATTTTTTTTCACGTTTCGAGAAATCAACTGAACAATCACTCGGAGTCGGAATTCAACACCCATCATGCCTTCGTGGATCAGTGCTAGATTGCCCTGGCAAGCTATGACGAGACTGTAACTGTTGTTAACAGGGAGCTGTGGGTTCGAATCCCACTAGAGGCAATGGCATCGAAATTGTTTCGACTTTTTAAAACAAAAGATGGAGTGCACGCTTTTTGGTTTCTTTCTTTGATTTTTTTTTTTTGGGAATCTCAACCAACTATGTGCCTCCATTCCCACTCATATAATCCAGCTGCTCATACGACCTTTGGATTATAAATGATCCTACTGCACTGTCTCATGCCTCTAATTAATTGGTCACTAGTTAGGCTATGAGAAATATAAGGGTATGAAGCCTCTGTGGATGAGTGGTAAATCACCTCAGCTTTATTTCAGGAGCAGCACATGTAATACTTTCTGAGGAGCAGTGGGTTCAAATCCCACCAGAGGTGTTCCCAAGATCCAATCAATTTTTGTTTCGTGGTTCAATTTTGTCATTCTTTCTACCTTGGATTGACCCATTCATGGTGTTTGTTTTTTGCGCCTCCGTGGATGAGCGGTAAATTGCCTCAGCTCAATGATTTTGCAAGATGTTGTACTGAGGAGCTGTGGGTTTGAATCCCACTGGAGACGTGGATCCTGATATCGGACTTTTTTGGTAACTAGTTCACTTTATTCTCAACCTCTTTATTTTGGTGTTTGAAGATCACGATGTGAACTCATACCAACTATCTATCTCATTATTCTCGGGACAGCTGACTGGTTCATTAGTTATTGGTTGAGAACCTAGAGGAGGGTATCATGCCTCTGTGGATCATGGTGGATCACCTCAGAAAAATTAGAATGAATAGAGTACCACTGAGGCGTAGTGGGTTCGATTCCCACCAGAGGCATCGGAGTTTTTGTCGTTTTTTTTTTTTGTTCCTTCTTTCAATTTTCAGAATCTTATTCAATTGTACTGTGCTTTACCCATCTTTCTATGTCGATAAAATTCAACCAATGATCCAGTTCCCCAACATTGGGACATCAGCAACACACTTTGTCTGCTTTTGTCGAGACCTGCTCCTACTGCACTGTCTCATGCCTCTAATTAATGTTCAGATACTAGTTAGGTTACGAGGAATGCAAAGGTGTTAAGCCTCTGTAGATCATAGTGATCACCTTAGACAGGTTACAAATCTGCAATTGAATAATCATTGAGGAGCAGTGGGTTTGAATCCCACCAGAGGCATTAGATTTCTTTATATCTGTTTTGTTCCTTCTTTCAATTTTCTGAATCTCACCAACCATTCTGCCTCTACAATACCCGGCTTCCAGGTTGCGATGTCAATGTGATATAGAACTCAGCCAATAATCTAGATACAGGTTCCCAACACTACTTTGGTTCCATCAAGTCCTGCTCCTGCTGGGCTGTCTCATGCCTCTAATTAATTTTCAAACCAGTTAGGTTACGAGGAATATAAGAGTGTTAAGCCTCTGTGGATCATGGTAGATCAATCCTGAATCATAGCAATGGTTTGTCGTAGATTTAAGGGTAGCTGTGGGTTCGATTCCCACTGGAGGCATAGGAATCGGGAGAACATGTTGGTTTTTTGTCCCTTCTCTCAATTTTTCGGAATCTCATTCAACCCTTGCTCATCTTTAGCCAAATGATCCAGATGCTCAACAATGGCCTTGTTTTCATCTCCTGTGGGCTGTCTCATGGTTCTAATTGATTTCAGATACTAGTTAGGCTACGGGGATGTAAGGGAGCCAAGCCTCTGTGGATCATGGTGGATCACCTCAGAAAAATTACAAATCCGTGAATAAATAAATATCTGAGGAGCAGTCAGTGGGTTTGAATCCCACCAGAGGCATAGCATGTGGTAATGATTTCTTTTTTGTTCCTTCTTTCAATCTTTCAATCTTTCTAAATCTCAGTAGTCTGTGCTTCCACTAGTACTCATCTTTCAACAGATATCCAACTGCTTGGACTCAAACAGACTTTTGCTTTTATAATTAATTTATAGAGCGAAGATTCTACTGCCTAGCTATCTCATGGTTCTAATTGATTTTCAGATGCTAGTTAGGCTACGGGGGTTGTAAGAGTGTCAAGCCCAGGCCTCTGTGGATCATGCTGGATCACCTCGGAAAAATTCTAAGTCTCTGAATAAATATCTGAGGAGCAGTGGGTTTGAATCTCACCAGAAGAATGGCACCGATAGTTACGTTTCTTCTTTTAATTTTTCAGAATCGCAGTCAACTAGTCTATTACTCATCTTTTAACGGATAATGCAGCTGCTCAAAAAGACTTTTTGCTATTACAAACTTATGGATCGGACCTACTCCTGCCCAGCTGTCTCGTGATTTCATTTCAGATACTTGTTAGGCTATGGCCAATATAAGGAAATCAGGCCTCTGCGGATCATGGTGGATCAGCTCCGAGTCATCATATCTGGGGAGAAATGGATTTAAGGGTAGCTGTGGGTTTGATTCCCACCGGAGGCATGGATTTGAACCTCGATTTTTCTTTCGTAACTGATTCACTTTATTTCAACCGTAATTTAGTAAGATCATGATCTGAACACACCAAATCTTTACTTTCTGGCTCATTATTTCCAGGATACTTGACAGGTTTATTGTTTGTTGGTTGAGAATCCAGGGAGGGTACATCAATATCCGCTGGGCGTGGGACCGCAGGGACCCAGGCGGTGAACGAGGCACTCGCTGCGCAACTTCCTGCGTACAGATAATATTTCTTTATAACATTACTGGTGTCGTCCAGAAGTCTTTCAAGCTCAGCCTTTAGCCATGATCCAGAGCTTTGGAGGTGCAAGTCAAAGCGTTAAATCGGCGCCAACGCGAAGTACATAGCATGCTCCTGCATGTTTATGATTGAACAATTCTACACGGAAAGCAGCTCTCAATTAGGGCGCAAACTTTGAGCGGCAAGTCTTCATTGAATATCTCCTCGCCAATGTCCCAATTCTTTCTGATATGCAAGGTCAAAATTATCCATTGCTCGAGCTCGAAGTTTGGAATATCTGTTTGGCGGCCTTTCTCTGCTTCGTCTTCAACACTGCGTGTTCCTTTTGGGTTGAACTTGTACACCATTGGCGATCCAATACGCCGTACCTCAAGTCGAGCTGCGAACGTCATTTTATTTATTACAACCGTTTCCGGTTCGCGATAGTGAATCTAGAGACAGTTAACTGGGACGACTCGAAGTCGTTGATCTTTCGAGTGTGGTGGATCCGATCTGTTTATATTTATCTATGTAACTAGTTTAAATCCGACTCTCTCTCTCTCTGCTTCTTCAGACAAACAAGTGCAGATATGACCCACCTGCTGGAATAGAATCTGAGAACTAAGTAAGTATGTATTCTCAACCGAATCAAGACTGTCGTAATTTCGCTTGACGAATTGAACTGCCAGGTCCAACTTGACATACAGTCGACTGCAGAAATTCGGCTGATCCCCGCCAGGCCTTGGGTTCCTGTAGGAAAGCTGAGCTTGGTTACAAGCTCGGGGATTACTTTGTACCGATTAATTCCCAGGGGGGGTGTATCTGTCATCGCTAACCTCTAAGCTGACAGGATCCCATCGCTCACCCGATGCCGGAGCAATCATGGCTTTCTGTAGTCTCGTGAGGAACGATCGTTGACGCCAGAATAAGGTTTATGTCCGAAGTGGCAGTGCTGTAGCCCCTGAGTTTCTTCTCTCTTCCCGCTACAGCACTCCTATCGCACATCTAGTGTTCTTCAGCCTCAGCTTCAGCTTCGAGTTTCTCTCTCTTCTCTACTCGCTATTACCCCGGAATGGCCGCCCCGCGTCTTACCCTTGACCCCTACCTCGATATCTGTCCGGACTTCTCCGATGCCGCTTTTCAATCCACGCGGGATCTCATGCTCGCAGGCGCAGCCCAGGGAACTCCAATCACCGATGCTGAGGCTGCAGCCCAGATGGCCACTGGGTGGAACACCGCTCTTGATGCCCGCAAGCTCATTTGGGATGCGCAAGTCCAGGCGGATGCGACTCAAGCCGCAGCTGACGCAGCCGCTCTTGAGCAACAGACCAAAAAGCACTTCCGGCCAAGCCGGTGATTACTGATTGTATCCCCATCTTGAGTGTTGTTTCATTCTTCACATGTTCAACCCCGCGGATATGGTGAAAGACGTCTTGGCATCGTTTTCGGTGGTACTATTTGATGTCAGTGCCCAGTGCTCGTTTTCATCTATGTCTTTTTCTCCGTCCCGGTGGTAGGGTAGGTTTGAGTCCTTTTGGACGCTTTTTATGATCCACGACAAATAACTCCTGCCTCGGATTTAATTCATCCATCTTTCTGATGTGTAACTGGAGTCTTCGTCGGCTAAAGCGGTTCCAAAAAGGTCAGTTTCGTAACCAATCGGATTTAATTCGACCATTGAACTCCGTGTGTGCCCACCCAGCACGGAGAATTGCAGGGATGAATAATATTATCAAGCAGACCTGTATTAGTAATGAACCTAAGGATCTGACTGTCCCGCGTCCACCGGTTTGCCGTCAATGTTGTATTAACTTCTCTCGCTCTTTTTCTTCGGGTTTGGTATTAAATATGGGTTCCTCCGAGTCTTGCCGCATGGGTCTTTTAGTGAATAGAGCTACATCTGACTTAGGTCAAGGCTACTATGCTGGCGGCCGATGTATTATGAACCAATCCGGTATTTCTCGGAGTCCAGGGAAATTGCTAGCTAGATATATTGAAGATTGGAGTGAGACGTCGGAGATAGGCTCCTCCAGCTCCCGTGATGAACGTAATTTCAGTTGTTTAAAACCCAAAGGGTACAGGTCGAATGCTCACCATGAGTACCATGGCCTGGCTCAGTTCTCTTCTTCTTCTGACACTCGGAATCGCCCGATGTTCAGGTGCTATACTGGAGAGTACCACAGATCTGGACCAGTTGAACCTCGAGTTCGACTTTATTGTCGTCGGAGGCATGGACCTTTACTCTGACCATCTGATACAGATACTGATTTCTACCTTTGTGAAGGTGGGACAGCGGGGAACGTGGTGGCAAATCGCCTTTCCGAAAATCCTGACCACTCGGTTTTGGTGCTGGAAGCAGGGGGCTCGTAAGATCTCCGTCTTAATTAGGTGGATTTTA